CTTGTATTTATAAAGGCTTCCCAGGTGATGTCAACTTGAAATCACCCAGTGTTGGTAGTCTACGTTTTCATTTGTACTAAGTTAACAAATCTTTATGGCATCATAATGTAACAAGCTGAAATAGCAAACACCTAAGAATGGCTAAGGGTTGGCCAAAAAGTCCCTTTAGTTTTTTTCTGTAAGACACATTTCATTTTCATCAATAACTATTGATTTGAATACTTTGAGTATGTCCGTTATCTCCCATGTGGTATAACGTTGATTGTTCTCAGTTCGTCTCGATTTGATCGTCATCAACTTCAACTGGTCTACCCAACCATGGAGCATCATCCAGTGAGAAATCTCCAGCACCAAACTTCACAAACCACTTTTGACATGTTTGATAAATCATAGCACTTAGTACACTACAAATCTTTGTTTGCGTTTCAGTTGCATTTTTATCTTTCTTGAAATAAAGCATAATACACCAAAACATTTTTTCTTCCATCGTCAATATTAAAAATGGCTACGTAAAAATTCAAAAATTTTTTTAAATGCACACTGGATATGACAGCTATTACAATATGGTCTAACAAAACTTTTGAATGAAGTTAAAGACAACTGAACACTAGAGCCATCTTATGGGAAAAAACAAACTTTTTGGCCAACCTAATACTTTACCATTACTACTCAAGCTCATGAAAACTAACAGAAACTGATCTCAGGTATATGCTTGGGTATTTGTGTAAGACCTTAGTAAGCCTCTTAATTTCAGGGCAATATGATGAAAACCCTTGTTAGTGAAATCCTACATTGCTGTGAAGGTGGTGTTGGGGGAGGGAACAGGCAGGTCCATACAGTAGTCTTAAGTGGAATTACCAATTTGTAATGCTTCTAAAATAAAACTCATATAATTTATTAAATGTTAAGGAAATAAGCCCTTACTGGTGTTATCAACCTAAGATGAAGACGAACCTTTTAATGTGACTTCAAAACATTGATTTTACATTTAGGCTTAAAGTGCCGTTTGTCTTTTATTTTTTAAAAGATTTTATTTATTTATTTTTAGAGAGGGAAGGGGGGAGAGAGAGAGAGAGAGAGAGAGAAACATCAATGTGCAGTTGCTGGGGGCCATGGCCTGCAACCCAGGCATGTGCCCTGACTGGGAATCGAACCTGTGATACTTGGGTTTGCAGCCCGCGCTCAATCCACCGAGCTACGCCAGCCAGGGATAAAGTACCTTTTAGAGTAACTTTCCTATCATAGTGCTGTCTTATTAAAGCTATGCAAGGGCTCTGTCTCTCAAGTGGAAGGTGCAGGAAAATGAGTGGGGGAGGAAAGCAGGAGGTTGGAGGAAAGCAACAATATTAATGCAGTTTATGATTAAATTTCTCATGGATAATTCCCCTTCCAGATAACTGCAACTACTCTGCTTTTTGTGTTGATGCAAGAGGTTAAACAAAAACCCCCACAAAGTATGAATTGAACAAAAATCCCATAAACAGCCCTGGCTGGTGTAGCTCAGTGAATTGAGTGTGGGCTGTGAACGAAAGGATCGCAGGTTTGATTCCCAGCCAGGGCACATGCCTGGGTTGCAGGCCAGGTCCAGTGGGGGCCATGTGAGAGGCAACTACACACGCTATTTCTTGCCCTCTCTCCCTCCCTTCCCCTCTAAAAATAAGTTTAAAAAATCTTTTTTAAAAAGTCCTGTAAACAGCAGGCAAAGCACACACTTAAGTTTAATGCACATGGATTGGCTTTCATCATTCCCTCTAATACCCCAAAATATGGATATAACTATTAGGATGCTCTCCCATGTCATCTATTTTTTTTCTAATGTAAATCCTTTCCCCTCCTCCTGCTTCCTCCATTCCATTTTTATTCTCACCAGAGGACATGCTTATTGATTTTAGAGGGAGGGGGGAGAGAAACATTGATTGGTTGCTTCTCACGTATGTCTGACAGGGGACCAAACCCACAACCTAGGCCATGTGCCTTGACCAGGATTCACCTTACCACCTTTTGGTGTATGAAGTGACACTTCAACTGAGCCACACTGGCCAGGGCTCATTTGTCCTTTTTAGCCCTTCCCCATTACCTAAGCCTTAAACCTCACAACCTGTGATGGGTACTGTCACTAACATTCTGTAGGGAAGAAAGTGGTGGGGCCGAGATTGGAATGCAGACGATTTGATCCCTGAGACCATACTCCTTGAGTTCCTTGATGATATCTGAAGTTACTCGGAGTAACACATTAGAAACCTTATTTCCCACATTTCCCAGGGACTGAGTTATTTCTAATTCATATTAAGAAGACTTGGATTTACATTGTTAATACACAAATTTTATTAATTCCTTGTAATAGATACCAAGCTGAAATTCAATGACTAACTGAATTCATGCCATATACATATATATTCCTGTTTTGGATTTTCTATCAACATCCTATTCAACAGTCCTTGAGGGATTTGAGAACATTCAGAAAAGGAAATCCCAGTCATTTTAACATAATGAGTACATGTGAAGTTTTTCAAACCAAGTAAAACTGCTTGAAAAACACACCTTAAAAATAAAAAGGCAATGTACTCATTAATAGCCAAATCAAATTAAGCCAACAAGCAAGCAGGTTTTAAGTGAGGCTTCCCCCCAAAACTTGGAAGAGAATTACACAGCCTTCAGAATTTACGTTTGAGACTAATGGATCACAGTGAACAGGTTAATTCACCTTTAGGGGAACAAAATTAGTCCTAGCCACACCACCTTTAAGGTATCTGTTTACCAATCTACCTCAAGAACCTGTCAGGCATACAGATACTGGTAAATTACACAGGACAGAAAAAAAGGAGTCACAGTATAAAAGGTAGCTGTGCCCAACTCTACATTGTGGAAAAATGGATGCATGGCATCAGACTGAGAACAGTCTGAACACCCGAGACCCGCTGGCTATAGAGACGTTTCAGAGGCAAACTTCTCTTATAATACAAGCAAACTTCTGGGCTTTCATGTCAGCCTATAGCAATCAAATTTCAGTTATTAACATAGCTGAATTTTGAGTTTTCAAAAATAAATGAATTAGAAATTCGTACAGTAACTTGGCACCCTACGCAGCCAGGGAAAGAATGTGCTGCTTTTCCGATGTAAAAAATACCTGTCTAAACCAGTCCAGTATAAACAAATGGGCACACGAAACAGCAAGGTATCTACAGAAATTAGCTAGCAATTTAAGCATGGTACTAGGTGAGAAACACTTTCTGTTTAGATAAAATTTGGGAATGGTAAGATATCTTGAGAACTATCTTCCTTTACAGATGAATACCATGTTTAAAAAAAATCCTTGTTTCGTTAGTAAATACAAAGCCTTGAAATATCTAATTAACCAAGGGTACTTAAAGAGTACATAACATTCATTCACACGTAAGCAGTGGTTTATTTTTACAGTTGGCTAAGGGGAAAAACCCAGCAATTTAAATTATCAAACATAACAAAAAAATGTGCTTTGAATGCTTTTAAGGCAAAGCAAGGCAAAAAAAAATTATTTGGTTATCTTAAGTAGACCCCAACTAGTCATTTCTTTAGTTCTAAGGGGATAGACAGGCCAAAAATTAAGGTATCCTACTGATAAGAGAAAAACTCTGATGTTCTAAATTAAATCACAGCAAGTCAGAGTAGAGTGTGGGAGAGACAGAAAAAAGTATCCGTTAACAGAGCCTAGAGCTGAAACCAAGACTGTTCATATTCCTGAATGTATGTCAAAACTTTAAATTCCAGGTAGCTATTCCTGTGATTATTTAGACAGAATGGCTATCACCAGATGATGCCTCACCTAGTTCACATGTGAATATTCCAGACTGCTGCCCACAACCAACACAAGAGCATATCCTAGAACCGTCCTCATGTTTCCAGATCCTTTTATTTAGAGCCAATGTAAATTTCTTAGTGACAGCTTACATCCTTCTTCCTCAGACTCTGTGTATGAAAGAGCCCTATCGACCCCAAGATGGTGGCATGTGTCTTTTCCATCCAGCCCACCGCTGGGGTTTAGACTACGTGCCCCAGGACCTGGATCTTGCTCTGGCTAGCCCTTTCTTTCAGAAAAACTTTCAGCCTTGAAGGTTTTTAACATTGCATAATCATAATCTGTTAATACAAAATAATGTGAGCACCTCTCATGAAACCAAGTATCATGGCAGAAATTTTCTCTGACTCTTAAGAACTCTAACCAGAATGAACTGCTACTCGTAGGAAGAGCCAGATGCATCTATAAATACATCCAAAGATAAACCTAGGGGTGATATACACATGACTTTTCAATATTTAAATACCTGCGACAGAAATGAACCTCAGGTTAAACAAGAAAAAGGAACTAGGAATTTTGCAAGGTCTCAATAAGGAATACTACCACCAGTTTTGTAAAGTAGGCTTCCAAGAATATTTCTGTGAAAAGATACTCCTTTGCTTTGGTTCTGAAAATACTGTATTTTAAGGTACCTAAGGCAAATATTTAGGGGTACAGATCAATATTAGAAAATTAGTTGAAAGAGGTAGAAGTAAAGACTTTGTTTGCAATGTGCTTCTGCATAAAGGTCACAGATCCATGATCTGGGGAAAACACAACTAAAAAATGAATCACTCTTTTATAGGCTGTTTAAAGATAATGCTTTTTAATATTTCAAATATTTTAAAAATCTCATCAAAAATGTTTCACCTTAAAACAGTACTTTGCACATGTGAAATTTCATACCTAAATTTGATGATACTATTTTGGTTTATGGCTACTTACAAGAAGACTCAGTAACAATGTCCATTCACTGGAGTCTTTTTCTTTGGTTGAGCCTATTGGGACCAGGCTGATGAACTATTTATGCAAATGAGATGGCTAGAGCAAATTCATGGTAATATGAATTATAAGGATTTTCACTGAATGGAATCAAAACTTAAAAGGATTTTCATATTTATCCCCATTGTGGTTTTGGAAGCTAATATCCTGTTCAGAGGTTAAAGAGTTTGAATAGCTCACACAATCCTGTAAAAATTACAACTGGCTGCCCTTTAATAAATAAAGTCATTGTAAAGATTTACATTTACAGAATGAAAAGTGTATACATAGCAATTCAAATTCAATTTTGGAAGTACTAATAAGTACTGACCCATAACAATATACACTAGCTACCTTTTAACTGTCCATCATTAGCACCAATAAAGATTCAACAAAATTACCTTTATTCCCACATCTCAAAACAATTCTGCAAATTCTTTGTGAAAGTTTAAGTATAGTCACAGACCTTAAATATTCACATTTTTTTTCTGTCATACTGAAAATAAGTTCACTAATTTTCTGGATATTTTTTTTACAAAATCTTATTAAAATTCCTGGTATTATCATCCCTAAGTATACAGTAGCACAACCACCCTATGTAGCTTCACATGATAGCTCCTTAGAGGTTTCACATCTAAATTACCAAGAACAAAACCCTTCCCTCCCTCATTTTGCCCTCAGCTTAATTCTATCTATACTAGTTCTTGGATTATGTACCACTGTCAAAGTATAACTGTATCGAAATTATCAGGTTTGTGGATACAATAATATGCCATACAGAACAATAAAGTTACACATAATGACAAAGATTACTAAAGTTATGCAAGACAAGAACAAAGGTTAGGACATGCTAGCTAGGCAAAGTCCTTAGAAAGAGGCTCCTATTATCTTAAATTCAACTAACATTGACAAAATAACGAACAATTATCTTTAAAAAATTATAAAGCTACTCGCAAAGTAGGTAATTTCTAAATAAAAGTAGAGCACAAGATTAAACTCTAATATTTACAACTGCAACATACTCGAGTAAAATTACAATTGTGCACATATCAGTGGCTTTTTTTTAACAATAATAATTCATATACATAGAGGGAAAGTTAAGACAGCTTTCAGTTCAATAGAAGTTGAATTCAACCCATCTCAAAGATACTCAACAGCTCAAAGATTTACCACAGAAAACAAGACTCACTGATAAACCAAAGCCTATTACTGGCGTTTAAGACAAAATTTAAACGAGTTAATGTCTATCGTTTATTCAGAAGTCAGATGACTGTGCCAATTTGACCTCAACAGGAATACACTGAGATGTGCAAACAAAGGTAAAACCTCCACCAGCTGTTTACCTGGAGGCTGACCTTTTTTAAATTTTTTCCTCAGAGGTTCCTGATAAGCTATAAATACAGGTACAATGCACAGTGATCTTTTTTTTTTAATTTATTGTTAGAATATAAAAGAACTGAGAGAGCAATAGGTTTAATTTTATTTTTATAAGGAAGACTGCATTTACCTGAAAAAGAAATATGGCATCACACACAAACACACCTTAGGGGAGGAGTATGTTTAAGAATATGGTGTCATCCTGATTGCTAAAGGAAACACGATTCTCGTTTACTGTTAAATTACGTAGTGTTAAAGTTCTTTAAGAAAAAACTAACTAATTTTTCACTATGTACGTTTTGTGAATTTAGTTTTCAAATCACAGTAATCTGCATTACCATTATTAACAGCTCTGTGTAATAGTACTGTAACAAATCAACAAACATTTAACTGCACTTCACATCCAAAGTATGTAAACTTTATTTTTTCCTCTTCAAGCCTTTAGAAAATTAGGGACTATTTCAGCAGCCAATCTGGTCAGAACCTCTGAAGGCAAAAGTTCAGTGCCTCACAGTGTAAATGACCATCTGTGGCACTGCATAGCCATATGGTAGTGACGTGTCCCCCTTCAGAGGCTTCCAGTAAGGCCTAGAGTTTAAGGTTAACATGAAAAAGTGCCACCTTTGTTTTAGATTAGTGATGGACTCTGACAAGATAAAATAAAGTTATTCTGTATATTGTTATACTTACAAGCAGCTCCAATCCTGAGTATTTATGGTAATATCTAAACATACAAAAATGTATGTACATTTGTCTCCACTTTCTTGTAAACAGTTTTCAGTATACTGTTTTATCCCTTTAACATTGAAACATGCAAGTCATACATACAAGTATAAATACACAAAAGAAAACAATTTACACTCATTCAAAAGCCAAGCAACAACAAAAAAATATAGCTACAGTAATCAAATTATAAATAACAAATGCTTGAGGCATCTTATATTCCTAGAAGCAGCCAGCCATTCATCTTAAATGTTCTTAGCTGCAATTGTAGAAATACTGAGTTTTGCACCTTCCATGCTTTTACAGTATTTATAACACTATCATATGTGGAGATAAAGACTTGTTTACTATAATCTCTTCTTTTCAGAATGAAGAATAAAGCAGCACTTACAAATATTGAAACAGTGGCAGCAATAGCAGGCGTTACCACTGCTATATCAGGATTCCATTCTAACAATTTTTAAATTAAAAAAGTAAAGGAAAAATTGACCTAAACAAATGATTACATGTTCATTCCTTGGGCACTTAACAGCGAGTCCAGCATGTCGTATGTGTCTTTGTAGTCCATATGCTGGCTGTTTGTACTGTACTCGTGATTGACATCAGGACCGTTGGTCTCCACTGGCTTCTTGTCCAGTTTCACGAGGGTGCTGAGATGTCCGTAGCCCACCTGGTATGTGACAGGGGGAGGAGGGGGTAAGGGATGGTTAAAAACAGAGTTGTGAGAGGATATATACTGCTTAACAGAGGAGGAAGAACTAGATGAACTACCTGAACTTTTGGAACCTTTGATCATTTTGGAGTGATGGTTGTGAGATGCATCATTGATATGCAGCCTCTTCCTTGAAGAGCTGGAACTAGAGGAAATGCCATCACTGCTCAGGCCAACAGGACTCCTCAGAACAGTGGGTGGTATTCCATCAGCACTGTGTTTACTGCCACTACTGCTGCTGCCACTATGTGAGTGGGAATGCTTGTGACTGCTGGGGTGGTGGCGATTTGAAGGATGTTCCTTGTGCTTCTCTTTGTGGTCTCTGCTAATATGTGGACTGGAGTGCTTGCTCTTCCCACTGCCTTCATCAGAAGAGCTGTGTCTTTCTGAGGAAGAAACTTTTATTTTCATTTTTAGTTCTTCTTTACTGGCACTTTTATCAGTGGGTGGTAATGGAATCCGTAATTTCAGTGATCCACTTTTTTCCTTCTTGTCTGCCATATATTTTTCAGGTTTTTCTGCATTTGTGATGGGAATTTTCATTTTAATGGGAGAAGTTACAGAACTGCTGCTGGTTGCCTGTGACTGCACATGTTTGTGTTGCTGTTCGACCTGGGCAGCTATATAATGATCCCTGACATCCAGATCGAGGGTTTCTAGCTTGCGTTTTTCTCTGTATTTATCTAAAGACATTTTCTGAGGAATAACTCCAGGAGTAGCAGAAATTGGTCCATGGTGCTTACTGCTCCCTGCTTTATGCGTATATTCTTGCTTAATAGAAGAATGATCAGATATTTTGTCGGGTCTGTGATGTAATCCTGAATGCAGTGATATAGAAGGTCCCTGCTGGAAGTTAATGTTGTACTGGCTACCAGACAAAGATGTCTCCTGTTTCTGTGAATATATCTGTTCTGTCCTTGCTGATTCTTGATGTTGAGGCCATTCTTGGTGCGATGACAAACTGTATGAGGTACTTGGCATTCCTGTTGTTAGCACTGACAAATTATCAGATGTATGGCTGTCTTGAACAGAAATATTTCCTGAATTTAGAGGTACTGGTGCAGGGAATGCTGATGTAGATGGTTTCTGAAAACTTGGGTTTGCAGACACACCACTAACAGTATCTACTAAAATAGAATTCTGGACCAAAGATGAACCAAGGAGTGGCGTTTCCGATACTTGTCCATCTACTTTTGGTTTCTTAGCCGCCTGATTGGCCTATTTAAATAAAACACAAAAGAAGCAATGACAGCAAAGGAATTTAATATACATTTCTTTGCTTATAAAAATTCTATATTTATAAGCATAAAAGGCTATATAAAATGTTGAAAGCACTAATTTTGGAATTTGATACAGGTTAAACCCTAGCCTAGTCATCTGAGAAAGTAACTTAACTTGCCTAGGCTTTAACATCTCCATTTGTAAAAAGAATAATATTTCCATCATTGTGAGATCTATACAAAATTTATAAAATACTTAGCAAAGTTCACTGGACACAATAGTTGAATAAACCATGTGTGCATGTATTGTAGCTTATGATACATTGTAATTATTTAGGAATATTGGAAATAATACTTAACCACAGAAATTCAAACTGGTTAGCTATATTATTGTTAGATAAATGACAAACTGATAATTTATTAAGCCCTGCCAATTCTTACCCTCCAGTTTCGAATCCTCTTCAACCTACTAGGCGTTTTCTCCAATATCTGTAGAAACTCATGTGTTAGCTCTAAAAATAAAATTTAAATTTATAACTTAGAAGGTTCCTTTAGGATTTAAATTTCTCTCAAGAGGGCAATATTAAAAAGGGATTTTAAGAATTCATTTACTTCACTATTACCCTCCTATTCAACTTTCAGCATATACAGAAGTAGACACAGCTCTGAACTAGTATTCTTAAAGAAAATTACTCTGCCACCCCAATTGTATGTACTTACTCAGAATCTCTGAAAAATTTAGTAGCATTAAAAAAATACTCCCCCAAAATAGAAACCTCGATTAAAATAATAGTAGTACTTGTTGTACCCAAGACCCATCAACAGATTTAAAATTAGTGGGCAAAAAAGTTTGAGGGAAAAAAGGGTATTTGTATAATCTCAACATATCTTCCTCAAGATATTTATTACTCACAAAGAGAAAAATAGTAACTTTACAATGGAGAAAACACCAGATACCACCTTAATCAAGTCATCATGGTTATCATTACTAGCAATGAGGCATATCAAAATGATGTACTCCCCTGATAAAGTGCAGAGCAGGACACAACCCTACTCTGTGCTACTGTTGCAAAACTGTGTAGCCTCAATCTAATGAGAAAATAACGGATAAATTCCAATGGAGAAACATTCTATAAAAAATAACTGATCATCACTCTTCAAAGTGTCAAGGTTATGGGGAAAAAAGAGAAATACTGAAAAACTATCATATGTTGGAAGAAAACAAAGGGGCATGTCAACCAAATGAATTGTGGGATCCTAAAACAGAAAAACTGGAGAATAAAATTTGTAGTTTAGCTAATAGTATTATACTAATTTTAATTTTCTGGTTTTGATAATCATGTATTATTTATTACATGTAATATTAACATTAGAGAAACTCGGTGAAGTATATATATAATTTCTGTACTATTTTGCAGTGTCTTTAATTTTATAATTATTTTGAACTTAAATGAAAAAAATCCCTCCACTTACCTCTTAACTTCCTAGCAATCAACACCATTAACATATGAGTAAACTACCCTGGTCATATTTTTAGACCATTTTTTTCCCTTAAATTTAGATGACTCACTTGTCCAAAGTGGTGTGGTTATGATCAATTAAGTATAGTTTTATACCCCAAAATAGTGGTCTTAAGTTACTGGCTACTCAAAAGACAAATTTTAATATCGGTCTTGGCAATACTATAAGTTCTACAATACTATAATACTACAAGCTGTGACAACTACCGTATTTTGCCATGTATAATGTGCACCCATGTTTTTGGTCCTAACTTTAAGGGGAAAAAAAGTTTTGTTTTGATTTTTTTAAATTCAATTTTTATATATATTTAGACACTTTTTTTATACGATAAAGGCATTTTAGCATTTATTTTTTAACATATTATGGTACAAGAAATTTTATGTACCAGTAACAAATTTACAATATTTATGCATCATAGAAGACCAAGAACTCTTCATCAGTGTCAATATCAGAAGTATCATCTTCTTCAGTATCTACATTACTTGTATCTTCTGAAGAGCCACCTTCCTCATCCCAGTAAATTTCATCATTCTCCGTTCCATCCACAGTATTGCTGATGTTACATTTTTTAAGTGATTTCACAACCACTTCCTTCTTGACACCATTCCATGATCTTAGGACCCAATCATAAACCCGGGCGATGGATGCTTTCTTGACCCTGCCTGTAAGTGTTAAATCATTAGCAGCTGACTGCATCCACGATGTCTACTCTTTCTTCATTCGGGCTTTAAAGGGCTTGTTTACTGACACATCAAGAGGCTGCACTTGGCTGGTTAGCCCAACAGGTATCACAGCAAGTTGGGTTTTCAAGTCCACTGTGATGCTTTTGCACTCTGTGTAACATGGGCTTTGAAGTGATCAAGAACAAGCAAAGCTGTTTTTTAAAGTAATTCTCCAGGCCTTCCAGACTAGACTTTGTGAAACCAGATTTTGATTCCTTCTTCATTCATCCCTCCTTTTTCATGCACATGGACAATAACTCTACTTGGAATCTTTTCTTTTGGAAATGTTTTCCTTTTAAAGATGGTCATAGGTGGTAGCTTTGTCCCATCTGCACAACAGGCTAGAAAAACAGTGAAATATGTTTTCTCACAACCACTCGTTTTAATAGCTACAGTCTTTGCTCCTTTGATACCCACGGTTCTATTGGATGGCATGTAGGTGTCCCTGAGAAATCATCAATGTTTTTTCTCATGCAATCCTTTTACCTTCTTCTTGAATCACCTTGGTTGAAACAGAGATCCCAGTCTGATGCTGCTCCAGAATCCAGGTCTTCACCTCATGTTCCACCTCCAGCCACTGTGGGGGTTTTCCCTCGCACTGCCTTCTTGTATCTTGGCATCTGAAGAAGCTTTTCTTCCTGTTGCCTCCACAATCTGATACAGAGAGAGTGGAAGGAAGTCCAAAGAGTCTCTTGGCAGCTCTGTTGCAGTGCTTTTTAGCATATTTAATAACTTTTAGCTTAAAGCTTGCAGTATATGAAAACCATTTCAACATTTTCCAAGGTATTTTCCAATAATTTCTCCCACCTAAAGTGTATGAAGAGAAATGTCAAATGTCACGCTGTTCACCCTATCTTATCAAGTGGATAACAATGGCATCATCTATCTTATCTTACTCTGTTGATAACAGTGCTCTTCCTTCATCTCGTCGAATCACTGGCTGAAATTGCTTTTGTTGCAAGTTTGTCATAAATTCAACAAAACAGATTATGTATTCTAGGATATTATTGCATACAGATATCATTATTGCTTTCTTTCTAGAGTTATACTTTTAACACATAAGCATAAATGAAAGAATTAAAAACATTTATATAGATACAGAATTAGTACTACCCATGTATAATGCTCATCCTTAATTTCCCTAAAAAATTTGGGCAAAAAAGTGCACATTATACACAGCAAAATAAGGTAACTCCTGTGAAAGTCTCATGAGTTTTGACAGTTTGGATGAAAAAAATTTAACACACGAACTACTATTTACTTCCGCATTCTAAAAAAACACCCCTTTTCTACTTGAACACTAAATAAATCTAGCAGATATGTAATACTTTTGGGTCCAACATTGGTAAGAAATTGACTTAATTCCTTTAATAGCTTGGTTGTCAAAGATTAAATGTACATATAACTTCTGGTCCAAAATCACATGTTCAGCAAGCATAAAATGTAAGCTTTGTTTTTTCCTTTCTAAAGTGTCCTATTAACTTTTACAGTGGGGGAACAAGAGGATCTGTCAGATAATCACTGCTAAAGTAAGTAAGTAGCTACATGCATAAAAAAATCACATTATACTTAAAATAGAGGATACACCTCCTCAAGGCTAATGTACTAAAAAATTTCAAAATATAAAAAAACACATGAGAGTTTGTTATTAATCACAAGAAGCCCCACATAACAAAACAAAAAGCTTACAGACTGCCAAGTACAAGCAAATGTTGCTTTGGGAACACACTTTTAAATGAATTATTTCAATATACAATGATGCTTTGGGCACCATGCTAAAATTCAGATATATACTAATATCTTAAATTTTGTTAATTTTGAGGGGATCAGAACAGAAAAGGCATAATTCCTATTCAATGGCTTTCCAAATGGATAATGGGCTTGAACCTTTTAGAATGGAAGCAGAGGATATTTAGGTGACTGAATCCTATTGAGTCAACCCCCACCCCCGCCCCCCACTAACAAATTCTACCTGTAAGTTAAGAGCAGAATAAAAGGCAATTTACTTTTTTTGGTGAACTTTATTTTAGTACCATATGAGGTGGTATGAGGTCTGTCCAGAAAAAGGCCAGCCATTGTTGGACACTGGTCTGTGTGTGGGTGTAAGGTTTGTCCAGAAGGTATCCAGCTATGTAATATGAAAAATAAAGACATTTACCTGGCTGGCGTAGCTCAGTGGATTGAGCACGGGCTGGGAACCAAAGTGTCCCAGGTTCGATTCCCAGCCAGGGTACATTCCTGGGTTGCAGGCCATAACCCCCAGCAACCGCACATTGATGTGTCTCTCTCTCTCTCTCTCTCTCTCCCTCCCTTCCCTCCCTAAAAATAAATAAATAAAATCTTAAAAAAAAAAAAAGAAAAAAAAAAGAAAAATAAAGACATTTAATGAAGACAACAAATGAAACACTGTACACAGGACAATGACACCTCAGGCCTCTTCCAAGTAGGCACCTTGGGACCTCACAGAGTTCTCCAATTGCCATCAGTTTCCCTGTCGTATTCTCTAGAATCTCATTGACGGTCTGAAATCTCTTTCCTTTTAGAGGTGATCTTAGTTTTGAGAAAATCCTGAAGTTGCAGGGCAAATCTGCGATGTGGGGGGCTAAGTCACCTGGTGATCTGATGTTTCACCAAAACCTCTGCACAAGACATGATGCATGAGCAGCAGACACATTTTCATGAACACGCTGCCAATCACCAGCTGCCCATTGCTGTGGCCTTCTGAATCATCCGAACAGTTTCCATGGAGGAATGTTCAAACTTAACGCAAAATTTGATGCAGATTTGTTATTCTACTCACTCAGTCATTTTGAATGCATGGCCACACAGTGCACATGCTCACTCAACAACATCTACTGCCCCCACTGACTACTAGTTCAGTGAGGTTGTCATTGTTCATGCATGCACATACTAGTCCACTCTCCTTGGCTACCAGATTACATCAATATTGTGCAAGCTGTTCATGTTTTATTAACAATGACTGGATCCTTTCTGGACAGACCTCGTATGTTCAATTTGTTTTTCTTTAGGCTAATGAATCCTCATTTTCATCCTGTTCATTTGCTCATGTAGCTATACTTTAAAATCTCTTACCAAGTTGTTAAAACAGAATTAAAGTTGTTTTTAAAGTGTAAATTTGAAATACAAACTGAAATATTAATAGATGAAAAAAAAATATCTGGGATTAGCATTAAACTAACTACAGGGGAGGATGGATACTGAATTGTCCAGAATAGGTAACTGCTCAGTTGGGCATGAGTATATGGGATTCACTAGTTTTCGAACCTATGCAGCAGTAGACAGAATTTTCCCCTATTAAAAATAGTTTATTTTTAATGTAAAAACCTTATTTTGTCTCTACTTACCATCTAATAACTCTAAAGTAACTGTAGGATCCACATATTCCCACCAATGTTTTCCATCAGTTGACACAGGAATCTCCCAATTGGACCATTTGCAAGCCAAATGAATGCATACACACGCTATCACCGTTGGTTTGTATTGAAGACAGAAGGTGGTAAGATGTAGACTGTTGTGGTGCAGGTTGAAAAGGAAGAGCCATAGAAATTCAAATATGTAAAACAAAGAAAAAATTTGCCAGTAAGATTAGAGCAAAAACAGAATCACAAAGGTTTTCTTCTGTTAAGTCTAGAATACAAAACCTTATTTTATTAAATTAAAAGCTAACCCTATAGTTACAGAATTCTAGTACTAACAAAACCTAGATAGATATGAACATCCCCCCACTTACTCCCCAGAGTATTATATTAATATTTAATACTACTACTATAGTAATATTTATAAATTTTGCTTTTACATCTAAATTCAAAGTATTTTTATTTCTTTTTTTTTAAAAATTGTAATCATTGTTCAAGTACAGATTTCTCCCTTTTACTCCCATTCCAGCACACCCACCCAATATTTTTATTTCTTTACTTAATATACTTCTATTTCCAATAGTCACCATACACAAGTACAATACAAACTTTTTTGTGGCATTTTGGTTTCTTTTGTAATATGGTAAAAAAGTAAAGGAAAAAAACAACTCTTTGTAAAAGTGACAAATTTCAACACTGCATTATAATAAGGGATTCTATCATTTGGTATGGCTTAACAAATGTAATTCTCAGGTAAGTTAAAGAGAATTTAACACTTATCTACATCAACCTCTTCTTTTCAGTCAAGCCACAGAGAAAACTTACCTTTTATACAACAGTGTCAAGGCCCAATATTGCTATATACTACAAAAATATTACCTTTCTCATTCCACTCTACTGGACATGTAACATGTCACAAATAGGCTGTTCTAACCAAAGTTTTAAATTTAAGTGTTTTTTTGTTGTTGTTGTTGTTTGGAATTCTCAGGATAAGGGTCAAATCCCAACAACATATATATATAGCTAATAAAATACACTGATACTTGCCAATCCAAAGTTTTAAATAAAACATAACAGTATCACAAAAAGTTAAGAACTATATACAAATCTGGAGACTACCTGCTCTCCAATGACCCATTTGAAAAAACAAATTTAAATCATTAATATAATCAATACAGAACAGAATTTTATATAGATATTAAAGGCTTTTAAAAAACTATCCTTCCCTGGCTGAGTAGCTCAGTTGGTTAGAGCGTTGCCCCAAAGATACTGGGTTCAATTCCAGGCCAGGGAACAAACAAGAACCAACCAATGAATGAATAAATAAGTGGAACAATAAATCAATGTTTCTCTCTTCCCCCTTCCCTCCTCTCTAAAAATCAATAAATAAAAACAAAACACTATTCTTCTACTTCAGTTTCAGAATTGATGCAAATGTTCAACCCATACCATTTTTTATTTACATAAACTGAAAAATTTCTTTTAAGTGAAAACTGCACTTATGCAAATCCAGACACTGACAGGAGTTGACTACTTCTAATTCACTACTAGTGGATATTATCTGGAAAAAAACCCAAGTTATATAAATTTATTAAAAACCTTTAATAATTAGAGATTGGATAAATGTGAAATTTAAAAAATTGTCATTTAACTATAATTATAAACTAAAAATAGTTTTATACTTACCAAGTTGCTCGAATTTCTACGTTAAGTTTAGCTCTCTGTAATCTTTAGCTGCTATTCAGGCTACCAATTTTAGACTTATGCACTCACAAATCGAGAATATGTCATCAAAAAGCACCACTACACTTCACATTGTGCATTTAACCCCTCTGTGCCCAAAGTCCCTTGTACAATACACCGCAAAGCAGACAGGAAGGTACCACCACAGTAGATGGTCCAGTCTCCTGTTGCAACAAGGGTAAGAGACACATTGAGGGGGCCCTGCATTAAAGGAAGCTATAGTGTGCTACAACAGTGCAACAAAGAGGGTCAGGATAACAACCTGTTGGTAGCCATGAAATAGGATGTCTGTGCCAAATCCTTGCTTGCTGTAAGAAAAAAAAAAAAAAGAAAACAATACTTTCAGCTTTAATATGCTACCATCAAAAGTTCTCAACACAACAAAAACTTCAAAGATGTGTACACAAAAAGTAAATTTTACTTACTACTTACAAATATCACAAGAGCGCCATCATTTTCTATACTACTGAAAATCTTCAACAACATTCACTCAAATGTTTCTTGCTATCCCCCAAAGATCTGAGAAACAAGCCGATTTGCTTTTAGCTAGCCAGTTACAAGGGCTAAACTTGTTACTAAGTTAAGCATCTAGTCAGCTAAAAGTTGCAATAAAGCATTCTCCTGGATTTAAAAAAAAAAGAAGAAGAAGAAGAAGAAAAGATTTTGAAGTCTAATATAAAATACAAAGAGTTGCCTGCCAGACTTAATCCTCAGTCATATTTAAATTGGCTTAAGTACTTCCCTCAAAACAAAACAAACCCCCAACCCACAAACTCAGAGAGCACAACTGCTCAGTTTTTCATCATGTTACTAAGCATCAACAGAATAAACCTAGAAACATTATAAGGGCATAAATAGAGAAAACTCCACTGTATTATTTGTTTTTAATTATAAAATCCAGTTAATGACAACTTTAGATATGATACCAGTACTTCAGAGGGAATGAAGGTGCTTCAACACAGGTCTCCAAAAGAAAACAATTGAAATTAAGAAACTGAAACTGAAAACAGTCTCCCCGCTTCTTCTGCTTCTTAATTTCCTCAACAGGGACACCACTGCTATAATTCGTCGTTTTCTCCCCCCACCAATTACATTCATAATCACTGACATACCTTTCCCCTCTGCAGCAACTAGGATCCCCTCAACTCACCCCTTTCCTAAAGGGCCTCAAAATCCTTGTTCCTTCCTATTTGTATCTGTAGCACCTGTAACCACTGCTGCCCCATGAGAATCTTTACAAAAAGAAATTTGGGCTTAACAGAGTTGTGCTAAGGAAGACTGTGAAAGCATCAGATGTCTTGGAGGCAGTGTGACTTAAGTATTGCATTCTTTCCTGGTAGGGAAGGAAGGAGAATCACAAAAGTGAAAGGTCCCTATAAAATGACATTAGCCAATTCTGCAGCAAAGTAAAATAATGCCAATTTTCTCATGGGGGTAGGGTAAGGCAGGAAGGTGAGGAACTTTGAAGAAGCCAAACCATTTATTTACCTGTCCTCCGCCAACAAAAGACTCAAAATATATAAAGAAGAAATTTTAAACTGCCATAGCAGTTTTCACCTCAGAATACATATACATTTAATAACCTGTCACTGTGCAACAGGGAAGAATAAAGGGAAAATGTTCTTCTGTTAGCTGAAAATTGTAATAGAGCAAAGAAAAGATGACACCAAACATAAAAGAACATTTCTTAAATAGAGTGAGATACAATCCAGTTACTTGAAATACTTAGTCAGACAAAAGGAGGTTAAACATATGTAAGATTTGTACTAAAATTTAAGAATCAGTATATTTTAAACATTAACAACAACAGAAAATCATATTTAAATATTTTGCTTTGGATGATATATCAAATTTGTATTTTTTGTAAATGTTTTAAAATCTACTATTCAATTTTGCGAATGAATGTTCTTTACATGTCTCTAGCTTCTTTAAATATAGGAGAACATGTACAAAAAATAAACTTTGACAAAGAAGTTTTAAAAAGCTGACTAAAACTTAACAATAACACGAAGCTGAAAATCCAGTTTCAATTCCTACTAAAGTATTATTTTAACCTGTATTAATATCTTCCTTCATTAGGCTCAATTTGAAACAAATGATATGGCTTTCCAATTCTGATAAAAGTTTACCCTTTCAAATTTTCAGGAAAACAGAACTACTCAGCCTTTTTATTCTTAATTCAACACCTACATTAATTATCTATATAAATCTATACCACACTATAATACTGGGGATGAGAATGTGCTATATTCATATAACCACAAAGAACAGGAACCATAATTATGTTCCAGTTTACAAGTGATAATATGTGGTATTAGGATAACAAATATGTAAATGTCATTTTTAGAGGACCGGTTCCTAAAAACATTGTGGTGTCAGATAAGAGGGTTTTTTTTTCTTTCTCTTTTTAATGTAGTCATAACATAATAAAATCCTACCTGAGTATAAAATGAATTCAATTTAGAATGAATAAACTGTGAGAATATTTAGGTAAAACACTAAAAAACAAAACAAGGCCTTCATAAATCTTACACATTTTGTTTAGAACAGTCCTAAAAAAGTCTGGTGGTAAAAGAATGAAATGGCAACATTCAATCATCAAAAAGGAAATAATAGAAAAAAGAACTCTAAAGATTCTAAGTGGTTGCAATTAGTACATAACACTTCTAATGGGAAACAGGAATGTTGAAGTAGTACAAAAACATGCAACTGTGTAAAAAATATTTCTAGGAATGTAAGAGCTATATAGGATTTATTAACAAGAGTAGACAAATGTATCACATGTTTTATAAGCAGAAAAGAAAAAAAAATTAAGAGTTCCCCTACTCCTGTTTATAAAAGGTTTAACAGCCACATCACACGCTAGGTATCATAGTATATAATTATTTCCTCATACACAAAAGGGAAACCATTTTTAGAAATACTGAAGAACTGTGAAAAATGTATTACATCAGTTTTGTTCAAACAATGGCAAAACATTTCAAAAAATTACAAATCTGCTAAGAAAGGCAATTATTTATAGAAAAAACTTCAGGCTAACCTCCAAATTCTTATACTATAATCTTTTCAAGAAGTCAACAAAAGTTGGACATAAATAAAAAATTAATACTATTTTTTTATACCCAGGTGCTAATGGCTTACGTCTTAAATATTAACTGAAATAGGACAGGCATAGCTCAATGGGGAGGTAGACAGTCCTAATATTTGGAAGCCCTCCAATTTGTCAGTGAAATGAGACTCACTGAAGTTTAAAGGGAAGCTAATTTGACTGGTAGAACCAATAGAAGTAGATGAGTAGGTAGATACAGAGCACTAAAAAGTAATGCTTCAAAATGCCATTTTCCCAATTTTAATAAAATTCAAGGAAAGGAGATATGAACAAAATAACATCCAAATCAATTATAGACAATAAAAATCATTAATACTGTACTCATTTAAAAAGTTTCAAAGATCACTTACCTCTTACTAACTGGGTACATTTCACCACATCTGTGTGTGGGTGCTCAATGGTGATCTCAAAACCTGAAACGAAAAGCACTTTTTTCCCCAATCACTTACCACCACAATACTGGCCTGAGAATGCCATTCACCACACAACCATAAATGTACTTTTCATTATTAAAAAAGCCCAAACACAATGCTTCTCATCACTAAAATCATTATACCTCAGATAAAAATCTTTTCTTCTTAAAAATGTTCTAATTATGAAAATTAATTATCAAAGTTATTTATAGATCAGGGATAATATTCATTCAAAATTCTGAATTACAGTTAGTTTGAAATTGTCTTCATGTTAAAAACAAACTGAAATCGTGACAAATACAATCAAGCTTGCCCCACAGTTTAAGCAGGGAGTAATGTATTTCTTCCCCTAGCCTTTATTGAATTTATTGGGGTTCTTAAGTATATTCCAATTCTTTGAGGAGATGTGAAAAGAACCTTTTTTGTAAATGTAACATTTGGGCTACAGTGTAAGAAATCACCTCTTAAATAACAAAGTGCTCTTATTTTCTTAGTATGCCTTCGATCAAAGGATTTCAGCTAGTTAGTTTATAATTTACATTTCGTTAATAACAAAACTGTTAAGGTAAGTAAACCTTGTAGGCCTCATGATTCATTAAATCACTGTTTCTCAAAACAAAGATAAAATGTTCAAAAGCTTCCAATGTCCAATCTACCCTTAGGTAGGGCAAGGCTTTTTTTTTAAAAGGTGGAGGTCACATCTAATGCCTGCAGAAGTATTAGGTAAATAACATCCTAATAAACTGGTAATCTGGATTTATAAAGTTATTGCATGGTCTATTTACATTTCTGCTGCAATTAAACTTACAAATCATACTTTAATGAAAGCCAAAGAGGTATATCTTATGAATTCTAATATTCCCCTTAAAATGCTATTCAATCTCTGTGTTCAAGTATCTGTCATAAACAATACAAATGACATGATTTTAAATAAAATAACTTTATATTATTTTTAGTAATATAACTTCCCCTTTCAACTTTCATTATATAAATATTTGTAAATTTTCATATTTATGTAATTTTACGTAATAAAACAATAACATGTACTTTACTGGATTGGGAGAGAATGATAGGAGTCTGACTTTTGTCTGACTTTTATTTTTATATCTCTTTTTTACTATGAAAACTTCAAACAAGTGATATATTTCAAACAAACTACTTCTACAATAAAAAGAATGTCAGGATAAGAAGCTGTGATTGCCACTTGTATTCAACAATTGGAAATGGAGTGATAAATAACTACCGTAATAAATAATGATTATTTATGACATACACTGTATGTGGCAGTTTTTAAAACATACCATCTTTCATCTTCAAATTTACAACGTTGAGGCAGGCATTATTATTCCACCTCTCACATACGGAAAAGAGGTATGAAAGGTAAACAGGGGAACTTTGTCCAAGTTTAAAAGCAAATCAGAGGCCTACAGATTTAAAACTAGATTTCCATAAAAGCCAATGTTCTTTTAGAATATGTGACTTCATACAACTCAAAACTGCTTTAAGCCTCAATTTCCTTATCAGTAAAGTGAAAGTTAAGAATGATCTTTAGAGATCACTTAGGTTGCACAAACTCTGCAGACAACATAACTATTAGATAAGAATTTTCAACATTTAATGAACCATTATGTCACATTAAAAATGATATAAATTCATTAAATACTGACTATAAGCTCTAGGAGAACAAGAACTGCCATATATGCCTGCACATACTACAATCATATGCAACAGCATGAAATGAGTATTTTCCTGTACAAAGCCAGAATGAAGCACAGTATCCTGACTATCTGAAAACACAGAAATCACATTGAAGGCTGTTTATGCCAAATGAAATTTTAAAAAATGGGTTCCTTATAATATTCTGGTTCTAAATTTTGTTTTAAAATGAAATTTTCTCCAAGGATAAAATAAGTCCAGATATTTTCTCTTTATTCAGCATATAGTAGGGTCCTTGAATATGTCATTATGTTCAACATCATTTTGCTATACCAAAGGAACTTAACTCATTTGTATTGATTAGCCTGTGGCAAATTGGTTTTGTTATATGTTTTTTTTTTTTTCACTTAAAACCATAAAACCAATCAATGGTGTTAAGTTAGAACTTACTGTACTGCATTGAAGAACACACACATAAATAAATGATGTAAGTACATACCTAGGGTTTGTAGCATTATGGTTTCAAGTAAAACCAGTTCTTGAGTTTGCTGAAGATAAGCCTGCCAGGAAAAAATAGTAATATTAAAATGCTTAAGGTAAACATAACACTACTAGACTAAGCAGCCGTTAAATCTCATGAGAATTGTAAGATTGATTACAAAAGAACCAGAGTAGTTTAAAAACATGAAGGAAATAAACTGAGGGTGATAGACAAAACCTGTACTCTGTGACACGTTGAAATTGAATTAAATTACTTCTAGTGTAAGAAATGTAAACAAAGCAAAAACCAAACCCCCCCCCCCCAAAAAAACCAACCCCAAAACAAACCCAACCTAACAATAATGGTAATATGAAAAGGGGTGGGTTAATTGGAAAAGAGCTCTTCAATCTATAATGTGAAACTTTTTTTTAAAAAAGATTTTATTTATTTTTAGAGAGGGAAGGGAGATAGAGAGAGAGAGAGAGAGAGAGAGAGAGAGAGAGAAACATCAATGTGCGGTTGCTGGGAGTTATGGCCTGCAACCCAGGAATGTACCCTGGCTGGGAATCGAACCAGGGACACTTAGGTTCCCAGCCCGCGCTCAATCCACTGAGCTACGCCAGCCAGGGCTTATAATGTGAAACTTTACTAAGGTATTATTAGTGCTTCAACACATTAAGGACAGAATTAACAGATCCAAGTACAAACACCAAATTCAAACCCACTTTTTAAAGCAAAGGCTCATCAATTTAATCTAGGGTAATTCATGTGTTAATTCCTTGACAGTCACATTAAACTGAATGAATTATTTTTATAGTTAACCTCCTCTCTTCAGAAAAGACAAAATAAAATCAAAACAAATCCTGTTATCTCTAGATTTAAAGAAAAAATTGTATATACAAAATATCAAGACATGGGCCTCCATGAGACATAAATTGAGGACCTTCTCCCTCAACTTCAATAAAT